CTGGAGGCCTACAGGCTGCTCTCGACCACAATATTGTGAGGCAAAAATCATCCAGTAGGTCTCTAGTGATGCATATTTCCTCCTCACATTTCAGTCACACTTCCTATATTCAACTCGGTTTTGTTATTTAAACATTATTTAGAATAAGTAATAAAAAAACATATTGGCCAAGGCACATGATTGGTTGAATGATTTTGCTAATGCATAATAAACAATTTTTGTGAATTAACTAATTTGTGTAATTTATGTACATTTTGTAATAATTTTAATAATTACTATTAATTATTAATAAAAGCATATGGTTATGTATTAACATTACATGTATTATTTGTACATTTATGTAATTTTATTACAATATTTAAATGTTTCTATTAAGGCTTAAAAATATAATGTAAGACCTTAAGACATTTTTGTGTGCATATATACCTTGAGTCAAGGGGGGGCAAGAATAAAATAAAATAAAATAAAATAAAAATAAATAAAAAATAAAAATAAATAAAAATAAAAATAAAAATAAATAAATATAAAAAAAGCAAAAGATAAATCTTTTTCAGGAGTAAGCATCAAAACAATGCCCTACCGTATTGGAATGCACCAAAGCAGTCAATACAACACCAGGGTATATACAGGAATCATGGAGTTAAATTTAATACCTTTTAAGACCCTTTTTTAAGACTCTTTCCATACATTTTAAGACCTCATTGCCACTCTTAAGTTTTAACTGGTTACATCTGCGACATTAGGCGCGTTTCCATTACCCTTCAAATTGAGCAAATTGAAATTGCGAATTGAAAATACGCTCCACCAAAATCCATTGCCATGACTTATCGCGATAGGCAAAAGGTTACGTTTAAGTCTCATAACATTGGTTAATGGAAACACCGTCATTTCGCAATACTTTTTTATCGACATTTATAAAATATCGCCAAAGTTTTGCGCAAATCTTTAATGGAAACGCGTCTATTGTCTTTTTTTAGGTTGAAACGTTAAATCAAGAGCACGCAGTGGGTTCTGAGGTTCTGCTGCAGCTGTTGAGCGTCTCTGTAATAAATGTGTCTGGATAAAAACCAGCGGCAATCCCCAATCTGCCACCGCACTCCTTTATTCCACTTCATCAAATACATCCCATCTTTTCTCGTGTCCAATTACCATGTCCCAAATATAAAAATGTAATTTCCATCCCTAAAATATATATTTTACAGTCAATGTTATGCACATTTATCTGTTAACATTTATAAGTTACTCTGAAAATGTAATCAAATTACTGATTACCGATTACTCCTTTTAAAAGTAATCACGTTACTGTTCTGATTACTTTATTTCAAAAGTAATTAGTTACATTA